ATAGCTAAATTAAATATTTATCACTATATAAAAATCCTGATCCACATTGGAGATGCTGGGGTTCGAACCCAGGGCCTCTTACATGCAAAGCAAGCGCTCTACCACTGAGCTACATCCCCTGTCACAACATTGTACTATTACAGTAAACACTTAACTATTTCATAATTTGCAAGAGATTGTGATGCAACGGCTAATTAAATATTTACCATTTTTAAAAAATTATGGATCCTCATTGGAGATGCTGGGGTTCGAACCCAGGGCCTCTTACATGCAAAGCAAGCGCTCTACCACTGAGCTACATCCCCAGTCAAGACAACATAATTACCATAATACCTCTTTCTTATGTCTTCTTCACCTACCAACTTTTTTTTCGATCGATTATAGGTCATTATTATGTAAAAGCTAATTAAGTATTTACCTATATATAAAAATCCAGATCCACATTGGAGATGCTGGGGATTGAACCCAGGGCCTCTTACATGCTAAGCAAGCGCTCTACCACTGAGCTACATCCCCTGTCACGACATCGTACCATTACAGTAAACACTTAACTATTTCACAATTATTGCAAGAGATTATAATGTAATGGCTAATTAAATATTTACCATTTTTAAAAAAATCAGATCCACATTGGAGATGCTGGGGTTCGAACCCAGGGCCTCTTACATGCAAAGCAAGCGCTCTACCACTGAGCTACATCCCCTATCAAGACGATATAATTACGATAATACCTCTTTCTTATGTCTTCTTCATCTACGAACTTTTTTTTCGATCGATTATAGGTCATTATTATGTAATAGCTAATTAAGTATTAACCTATATATAAGAATCCAGATCCACATTGGAGATGCTGGGGATTGAACCCAGGGCCTCTTACATGCTAAGCAAGCGCTCTACCACTGAGCTACATCCCCTGTCACGACATCGTACCATTACAATAAACACTTAACTATTTCACAACTATTGCAAGAGAATACAATGTAATAGCTAATTAAATATTTACCATTTTAAAAATTCAGATCCACATTGGAGATGCTGGGGTTCGAACCAGGGCCTCTTACATGCAAAGCAAGCGCTCTACCACTGAGCTACATCCCTATCAAGACGACATAATTACGATAATACCTCTTTCTTATGTCTTCTTCATCTACGAACTTTTTCGATCGATTATAGGTCATTATTATGTAATAGCTAATTAAGTATTTACCAATATATAAAATACCTCTTTCTTATGTCTTCCTCACCTACCAACTTTTTTTTCGATCCATTATAGGTAATTATTATGTAATAGCTAATTAAGTATTTACCTATATATAAGAATCCAGATCCACATTGGAGATGCTGGGGATTGAACCCAGGGCCTCTTACATGCTAAGCAAGCGCTCTACCACTGAGCTACATCCCCTGTCACGACATCGTACCATTACAATAAACACTTAACTATTTCACAACTATTGCAAGAGAATACAATGTAATAGCTAATTAAATATTTACCATTTTTAAAAAATTCAGATCCACATTGGAGATGCTGGGGTTCGAACCCAGGGCCTCTTACATGCAAAGCAAGCGCTCTACCACTGAGCTACATCCCCTATCAAGACGACATAATTACGATAATACCTCTTTCTTATGTCTTCTTCATCTACGAACTTTTTTTTCGATCGATTATAGGTCATTATTATGTAATAGCTAATTAAGTATTTACCAATATATAAAATACCTCTTTCTTATGTCTTCCTCACCTACCAACTTTTTTTTCGATCCATTATAGGTAATTATTATGTAATAGCTAATTAAGTATTTACCTATATATAAGAATCCAGATCCACATTGGAGATGCTGGGGATTGAACCCAGGGCCTCTTACATGCTAAGCAAGCGCTCTACCACTGAGCTACATCCCCTGTCACGACATCGTACCATTACAGTAAACACTTAACTATTTCACAATTATTGCAAGAGATTATAATGTAATGGCTAATTAAATATTTACCATTTTAAAAAATCAGATCCACATTGGAGATGCTGGGGTTCGAACCCAGGGCCTCTTACATGCAAAGCAAGCGCTCTACCACTGAGCTACATCCCCTATCAAGACGACAAAATTACGGTAATACCTCTTTCTTAAGTCTTCTTCATCTACGAACTTTTTTTTCGATAGATTATAGGTCATTATTATGTAATAGCTAATCAAGTATTTACCAATATATAAAATACCTCTTTCTTATGTTTTCCTCACCTACGAACTTTTTTTTCCAACCTTTATAGGTCATTATTATGTAATAGCTAATTAAGTATTTACCTATATATAAAAATCCAGATCCACATTGGAGATGCTGGGGATTGAACCCAGGGCCTCTTACATGCTAAGCAAGCGCTCTACCACTGAGCTACATCCCCTGTCACGACATCGTACCATTACAATAAACACTTAACTATTTCACAACTATTGCAAGAGAATACAATGTAATAGCTAATTAAATATTTACCATTTTTAAAAAATTCAGATCCACATTGGAGATGCTGGGGTTCGAACCCAGGGCCTCTTACATGCAAAGCAAGCGCTCTACCACTGAGCTACATCCCCTGTCACGACATTGTACCATTACAGTAAACACAACTATTTCACAATTATTGCAAGAGACTGTGATGTAATGGCTAATTAAATCTTTATAATTGCATAAATTTCAAATCCACGTTGGAGATGCTGGGGATTGAACCCAGGGCCTCTTACATGCTAAGCAAGCGCTCTACCACTGAGCTACATCCCCTGTCACAACATCGTACCATTACAGTAAACACTTAACTATTTCACAACTATTGCAAGAGATTACAATGTAATAGCTAATTAAATATTTACCATTTTTAAAAAATTCAGATCCACATTGGAGATGCTGGGGTTCGAACCCAGGGCCTCTTACATGCAAAGCAAGCGCTCTACCACTGAGCTACATCCCCTGTCACGACGTCGTATCATTACAGTAAACACTTAACTATTTCACAATTTTTGCAAGAGATTATAATATAATGGCTAATTAAAGATTTACCATTTTTTAAAAATCCAAATCCACATTGGAGATGCTGGGGTTCGAACCCAGGGCCTCTTACATGCAAAGCAAGCGCTCTACCACTGAGCTACATCATCCCCTGTCACAACATCGTACCATTACAGTAAACACTTAACTATTTCACAATTTTTGCAAGAGATTACGATGCAATAGCTAATTAAAGATTTACCATTTTTTAAAAATCCAAATCCACATTGGAGATGCTGGGGATTGAACCCAGGGCCTCTTACATGCTAAGCAAGCGCTCTACCACTGAGCTACATCCCCTGTCACGACGTCGTACCATTACAGTAAACATTTAACTATTTCACAATTATTGCAAGAGATTATAATGTAATGGCTAATTAAATATTTACCATTTTTAAAAAAATCAGATCCACATTGGAGATGCTGGGGTTCGAACCCAGGGCCTCTTACATGCAAAGCAAGCGCTCTACCACTGAGCTACATCCCCTATCAAGACGATATAATTACGATAATACCTCTTTCTTATGTCTTCCTCACCTACCAACTTTTTTTTCGATCCATTATAGGTAATTATTATGTAATAGCTAATTAAGTATTTACCTATATATAAGAATCCAGATCCACATTGGAGATGCTGGGGATTGAACCCAGGGCCTCTTACATGCTAAGCAAGCGCTCTACCACTGAGCTACATCCCCTGTCACGACGTCGTATCATTACAGTAAACACTTAACTATTTCACAATTTTTGCAAGAGATTATAATATAATGCCTAATTAAAGATTTACCATTTTTTCAAAATCCAAATCCACATTGGAGATGCTGGGGTTCGAACCCAGGGCCTCTTACATGCAAAGCAAGCGCTCTACCACTGAGCTACATCATCCCCTGTCACAACATCGTACCATTACAGTAAACACTTAACTATTTCACAATTTATGCAAGAGATTATGATGCAATAGCTAATTAAAGATTTACCATTTGTTAAAAATCCAAATCCACATTGGAGATGCTGGGGATTGAACCCAGGGCCTCTTACATGCTAAGCAAGCGCTCTACCACTGAGCTACATCCCCTGTCACGACGTCGTACCATTACAGTAAACACTTAACTATTTCACAATTTTTGCAAGAGATTGTGATGCAATAGCTAATTAAAGATTTACCATTTTTTAAAAATCCAAATCCACATTGGAGATGTTGGGGATTCGACCCAGGGCCTCTTACATGCAAATCAAGCGCTCTACCACTGAACTACATCCCCTGAGATAATAACATACAATTACAAGAAACCTTTAAGTTTATTCATACTTGTTTTTCTGTTTCCAAAATGTTCTACTTCACTGATTTGTTTCCAATTGGCAGTGTGAATAGTCTATCCAACAATTTTCAACTTTGATTTTATATTACAATGTAATGACTAATTATATCTATCTAAATGTATGTTAACAGCATTAAAAATGGTTATCTGTTCTATTCGAAACCGACAAAATGATCTATTTATTTAAAACTCTATATAGATTGTAAAGTAAATACATATATTTGAACAGATGATCAGCAGGTACATAAGTACTTATTCTATACGAAATCCACTTACTATGAAACGCAGCTAACCATTTTCAATCAATCCTAAAACTTTAATTAACCTTATCCTCAAAAAAAAAAAAAGGAAATCTATATTAAAAGTAGAAAGTAAACTAAGACATTTTGTGCAAATTAAACACCTTAGAAATAAACAATGCAAGTTAATCCACTTTAATGTAAACCACATTTTTTTTTACTTGTCGAACTACGCTATAGTGAGTTCTTACGTATTTCTTCAAGATTGCATATTGTTACTTCATTAAAATATGGTTCGTTGATAGCCCAGATTGACAAGTAAATCAATCAAAATAAAACAACATAAACAAAATCAAATGTTTATACTAAATATTATAGTAGGTATTTTAATTTATTATGCTCTTATAAGGCGATGCAGCTCAGTGGTACACCATTCGCTTTGCACATGAAAAGCTCTAGGTTCGATCTCTAGTATCTCCGAAAAATATTTTTTTTATGTTAACAATTCTCTGGTGTTATAATGTATAGCGACGAGTTCGGAAGGTCGATGGGCTTGCAACTCAGCCGTGGCTTAGTCGGAAAAAATATATCAAACATTTGTATGCCAGGAACCTAACATGACGGTATACTGAAAAGAATTGTTAAAACAAATTTACAATCTTATTAAACTGTAATTTTTTAATTAAAAAGTTATATGGCAAGGGATATTATACCGTGTCGGAATATCTTAATGAAAAAAACCCTCGGGATTGAACTGCTCGGCTATCAGGTTATTTCATATTATTTTTAAATGTCGACTAAATTATTAGTTGCTAAATCCTTCGTTTTGATGAATAAAAATAACAAGCCTTGAATTTCTTGCCCATTCTTTTCTAGGTGAATCAGCATTTGCAATGGGTGGTAATGTCGAAAAGAATTTATTGATAACGTATTTCAAGTGCAATTTCATTACCTACAAAATAAAGATATTTTTTATTTGATTTTATAGATTGGCTCTTATTATTTTAACCGACTTCACTCAACATTTACAATGTAGAAAAATAAAAGTCAGTTAATAAATATCGATGGCGTCGACGTGCAGCACTATTACACCCACTGCAATAATTCTTGGCCGCACTTCATTTACATTTCTTTATTGGATAGCCGAATTGAGAAAAATTCTACCGCTCATTCTTAATTACAACTTCTATGCTCGTTTAATTTACTTTGTCCTTTCTATCGAAAATTCTTTTACCGCCGACTTCTCAGCAAAATGGCTGATGTTTTGTTGTTATGTTCTAAGTAAGGTGTTTATGTCATTAAGGTTTGAAATGCTTGTGTAATTGTGTATGTTTAGTGATTTTTTCATTAAAGCTTCCAGATATTGATCATTTTGGTAACAAAATAGTAACGAAGTAAATATCAATTTATTCTTATCTTTTGCTTTCCTATTCAGTATTCATAAATTCAAGAAATGTTCTACAAATGCCGCATAACAAATATTTTAATATAGTTTTTGAGAATCGATTATTATGTAAATATAAGTATCAAAATGTCGTAAATAGGGATGATTTAGATTAACCTTTTTATCTTTGCTAATTCTTAAAAAACACGCTCCATTGATCAAACGTTTGGTCAAGTCAAAATTTTAATAACATACGTACATACATTGTCTCTATGTATGTTCAATTTTGATTACTAAGAATTGAATTATTGTTGTTTATACAGTTTATGAATTCTATTATATTTCTCCATTTGTCGCAGTCTGGCTAACAAAAGAAAAAAACTTAGGAATGTCTAGAATTCTTCAAATGGCCACACCAAACTTCTCTCAAATGTCAGTATATGCCATTGTTTAGGATAAAAAATTAATCTTGATTCTTTAACCTAATAATAATATTGTTTTTTTTTCTATACATAAACTCGATTTTGTTCATTATGCCATTAGCGTTTATGGACTATTATAAAACAATTCCAGTGTCTGTGTGAACAATGATTTAATGTTTGTGCTTGTAAACTATCACATATATAGTGTCATAAAATATTAATCAAAAATTAACTTTCAGAACTGGTTTGCTATACTATATTTAATGATACCAGGCCATTTTATTTTTTTTTAATTTCTCTCTTTTCGGTACTCATTTTTTTGTTAGCAGGACTCTATTACTAAATATTTAAGTTTATTTGTTATTGTCAAATATGAACTCCATGTCTAGAAAAGTGCGGTGCGGCGTTAGAACGATGAAGGACGATTCTACGGCGGGAGCGATTTTCAAAGCTTTCATTGTGTAACATCATCGTAGATTTTTATAAAACCCAGTCAGTGTTCATACCCATTTACCGCCCGTCCACATCTACACCACGCATGCGCCGTGGGTTTTGGAGCACTCCTCGTGGATGGCGAAGCCCCAGCGCACCCGCGGAGCAGACGTACGTCTGAGAAACAACAGATCATACACATCTCTTCTTCTATTCCACAGGTCACCGCGTGAGAGTGCACATGAGGAGTAGAGGCACGTGTCCAGCGTTCGACCGGTATGACCTGATTGTACGTATGTTGTTATGTATCAGGTGCCAATCACCGCACTGGCGTGCTTAGATCTTAAGCTGTTCTTAAATGCACTGCCCTAGCGCGAGTTGGGCGCTGCTAACGAACGTACTCAAAGGTTTGAGGACAACAACACCGACGGCTTAATATGATTCCGAGGCGCGAAGTATACGTCACAATACTTAACTATGTTTTTTTAATACATTACTGCATTTAAAGCTTTTTCATTTGAGTAATAATGTAGTAATGGCGTTCTTTTGATGACTATAAAATTGCCTGAATAACGAATGACTTTTTAAATTGCTAATATGGAAAAATAGAAAAAATGGAAAAAGCGTGGGGCGCTTTGTGCCACAATTTTCGTATATGGAGCAACCCACGCTTTTTCCACAATAATAATAGTATTTTTCGTCATTGTTCATTATTTTTTTGAGTTCATATTAAGGATTATTTTTCACTTTTTAGTTTAATGTGCTTCAAAAGCGTGTTTTTTAGTTTTTTTAAACTATATTTATATGTCTTATAGTTAATTGTTTTATTAACCGATTTTAATTTTGATTTTATTTTTAGTCATCATATCTAGTTAGCTTACATAATTCATCATCAAATATCATTTTCTAATTATCAGTAAAGAACCCGATTTGAGTTAAGTCAAAAACTCATCTTTTTGACTCAATTTGTACCAGGAGTTGTACAAAGACTTATTTTTGTACAACTCCTGGTATAAAATTAAACATACTTAACCGCTAAATCACCAACGCTCACGCGTGCGCACATACATGCGTATATTGAAATGCGTTTTTGTTGAGTTTCGTGTATTCATTACAAGTGATTAAATAATGTACTTTCCCATGTTCCACCTGCATATATTATGTTTATTTTTTCTGTAACGTGAGTAAGTTAGAACAGGCAAATTACTTCATATTTGGCTTCCTACTGAACTAAAATTCAATACAGACGCCGAAAGACGGGGCGCAGCCTCGTCTGACGGGGCGTGAAAATATTTTTATGGTGGTCGTGGAATTCCGCCACCCCACGGCGCCCCTCGCCAGCCCATGATTTAGTGCCGGCTTAGTGCATTACTGGACGATAATTCGACGCATACTCGATTCAAAACTTGACTTATTATTTGAATAATGAAGTGCAGCGTAGTGAAGTGCGTTACACATTACACATATAAATAGGTACACACACACACTTCATGAAAGTATGTGTTATTTTATAAATGTTAGTGAATTTATTAAGAGCGTATAAACATATTTCTTTGAGTTTTTAGTAGATTCTTTAGAAATCTAACTTTTGTATTTCGTCTCATGTAGGAGCTTTGCAAAAATTTTCTCATATAATATTCTCTGTGGTCGAGGAGGTTCAGAAAATAGCATTCAAAGTTTATGGTTCGTTTATCCCATTTATATAGGATATAACGCGGCTTGTCATCACGATAGCGTCCGCAATTGTCAAGGGATCGTAATGAAACCTGGCATACTTATTTTATAGTGGATTACCTTGAACTAGTTCAAAGGTGAGTTAATTCGGCTAATTAGTTTAGAAATGGTGGCTATTTGAAATTTCGAAAATTTAACAAGAAATATACATCCTTTTGGAACGCCGAATAGCATTTTTTTGACAGTGTTATCGTGTATGTTGTTTGATTTTAAGTTAGTTGTATTTCAAACCATAACAGTCAATTACGTTTTAAATACTTTTATAGCGAGACTTAGGGCTTTAAGTATTCATTAATAAAGCTATATTTATTATCTGAAAACATAGCAAATATAATTAGGGATGACAATTTGAATAACCTTTCTCCTGACAAAAACATTAAAATGCCCTTGGTACCCCTTCGATATACCATTGATCCGCTGCCATCTGAGGAGATGACATATCATTGACATTAAAAAACCATAATTTTATAAAAGACTTACTGAAATTAATGCCACCTATCTTAAATGTTAAAAAAACCCTTTCCTATCTACGGAAAAAACCATGATACGTGGGGTGCAATAAATTTAAACTCCTGGCTAAATCTTGAAATTTCGAATGTTAGGCATATGCTAGTCTTTCAAACAAAAATGAAACCCCGATGTTCATTATATCTTTTTTTTGTATACTCTTGGTACCCTGTTTTTAATGGCAGGTCGAGTTTTTCGCCATGATGAAATTCGTGCAGATCATTAACTGTGATCATTGAACAAAACAGCTCATTAACACACGGCGAAGTGCAGAAAATCTACGTATCACCTATGAGGGAGTTTAAGGTTATTTAGGGATTGGCGTGAGCTATCTTAAGACGTGTACATCAACATTTAAAATTTAAGTAAGTTTGTTCCCGCTGAATTCTTCTCACCTCAGAATAGAAAGAGGCTCGTGTTAATTGATCTAAGAAAATCTAGTTAAAATGCAGTCGCTAACGATCAAGTGCTGTTTAATGACACTGTGGTGGGAAACAAAACATTGATTTATTGTTACGATCCAAAGAGCTGACCACAGTCTTATAAATGTGTTTTGAAAACTAATGAAAATCAATCATTAGCAAACCAATAATATTATGTGGATGAAAAATATGGGTATAAAAATTTTAGTTTTTTTTCACTCGGACGGGTCCAGTTTGCAATTTTTGTTTGTTTGTTTGAAAATTTTCTAGAACACCAAGAAAACAATTGGTAGCGCACTAATGACAGTTAAAAATCATTAGTGCGCTACCAATTGTTTTCCTGGTGTTCTAGAAAAATTTCGGGAAAGACGAACGAGTAATCCCATCGTCACGTAATATGGCAGATTGAATAATGACATTTTCTACTTCTGCAAAAGGTGAAGCTCGCCACCAATTTCACAATTCATGACCTCGCTGCACGTAAGTTTTTTATTTTCCCAAAAATTGAAGAGTTTCGTTTGAGGTTTGACATTCTCGAGACCAGAAGAGGCTGTGATAGAAACAAGTGATTGAAAAATA